AACCGTGTATATTTTATATATGTCTTGTACAATGATGTGTTTATCACTTCCGGGTACAGCTTGAATATCGATTAGACGACTAGATTAGATTAGACTAGATTAGATATTTTCGAAGTATAGAATGTTCCACAATTTGCAGGTTATGAATAATCCTTACCATTTCAGCGATGCGGTAAACAATAGGAACGGTAAACTGGTGTGTATCATTTCTCTCGCCAGAGGTACGCCTGTCCCTGTACCTATATAAAAGGGTTATATGTGAAGGGTTCACTAGTTCAGAGGTCACCGAGTAACCGCTTTGTTACGACGGTTACGTGGTTCGGCGCTACATAACACGGCGCTCGGTGCGTTATTCTACTAAGTTGACAAAGTTTGTGAATTTGTTTATAATTAGGCGGCACTTGATCTCTAAAACAGTGCACACAAAACGAAATCTGGTAACTGGTAACCGCAACTGCCGCTCCCATTCAAAGCAAACGTTCTTCAATGCGTCATTTATGTAAATAAAACACTTACAGTTCAGATCGTGTTTCTAGGTTCATTTGAATACACATCTCATTTATTACATGATCATTTATCCACATTCGAATAGCATAATGTAACACATATGGTGCTAATACATCGAGCGAAAAATATGAAACACTAAAATTAGATAGAATACACTATACAGAATTACAAGAAATTCAACCAAACTTACAACCAGTTCAAAAATATGCCTCCTAAAACAATATATAATGTATATATATTCTGAGAGGGGGTCATACCTTTGAATACATTAAGGAGTTCTGTCAACAATTCTGCAATACATTTGCAAATCATCATCAATATTAGAAACGCATAACAGTCAAAATGTATTTCCAGGTAACAACATTAATTCAGCGCAAGTCACTGGCATAACCTCGTCATCATCAAAGGTAGATCATCAGCCTCTGAATTGGCATAATCGCTATTTCTACGAAAAAATAATATAGATCGGAAAATGAATTCGTGGCAGAATACAGCAAATGTTTGTTATGTCCGTCTAATAAATCAATCTGATTTATTTGGTCAGCTAATGTTTCAATATATAAAGGTCGATAAGCTTATTTTATTTTAAGGGTAAATCTCGTCATAAATTTAAATATCCATTATTTGTTCAAATGAAATTGTGTTGTAATAGCAAAATATAAAGATGAGTTGGAAATCGTCACATCACTTTTCCAGTACATTTATCCAGTCGTATAGAACTATAGTAACGGTAATCATATTCGTCATTAAAATAATACCTCTGCATTATTCTTTATGGAAACTGTACTCAAGGTAGTCAAGATATTTGCATAATAAACAGGCCAATAGCACAAGTTTATCTTGGGTTCCATACACACATTCGTCATGAAGTTAAAACTTAAAGGGCGGTGGTTCGCGCAGCGCGTATGCGATGTTTGGGTTGATAAACATTGATTTCCCCCAAAATCATGTGTATGCGTTTTTCTATGAGTTTTGGCCCGGGTGAGACGTGCACTTACTTCCGTCTATAACTCATTCGATGTCTTTCAATTCTACACTAGAGTCTCACTGAAATTTCTTATCAATAAAGATTTACATAGTTGGTTTAGCGAATTTGTAATTAATTATTTGTTTTAACTTATTTTCTCTTTAACACATCGAGTTTCCAAATTTACAGATAGGTAGGTTGTTCTTCATCTTACATCGATATAGATGTCGTTTTCTAATAATCGGTAATAAGCCCATATTGAAGAAGCAGGCAATTCTACCAGAGCTGTAATAGATGTCTTGAAAGTAGACCATCATGTTGCCCTTGACTTGGTACAGAAATACAATAAGTTATTCCTAGTTGTATACTTCTGACTGACAAAAAGAACATAAGGGAGTAATCGACCTTAATTTTCATCATATATAAAATTTGTATTTGTTTATATCGATATGCGATATTTTCCAAGATATCGGTAATGTAATGGATACCATAATCAATAAGATTCTGGTAAAAACAACCTTTCATTCAATAGTAATATTTTATTATTCTACGGAATAGTCTTTCTTCAAAATAAAAATCGCCAAGATTAACAACAATGCTATATCAAAATTACGGTTTAACCAATTTTTCACCCACTGAAAAAAAAAAATTCCAAAAACAGTAAATTATATTAAGTTATAATATCAGGTGCTTTAAAGGGCTGCAGTCGTCGCGTCGCGTCCTGTTCGATATGGGACTCATAGCGACGTATACAACGCGTGTTAAATACATTGTTTATGTACATGGAATTCGAACACGCGCTGCGCGACGACCACCGCGCTTTAAGACCACCATAGAGAATATCAGACATGTTTTGCGTGCATTATTTCCAGATAATTATTTCCTTATTAATCTTATTTAAATACCTTTTAAAACTTTAGTAATACTCACGAAGAAAACAAACGTAGAGACAGTTAGGCTTTTGAAAACTTGAATTTTACCCACGCTGACTCCAAGAAATTACATCGAAAGGCAACTAAAAAATTTTCCAGCGCTAACACAACAAATGACTGATGACAAAACCCACCATTGAGGGCGCTGCTCAGCAAAATCGGGCGTTATCACAAGTTCATTCGTAGATTTTTCTAAACAGTCACGTCTTAATTCAGAAATAGTATTACTGTTCTTTGTACAGTGATATACACATTAGTTACAGACCCCAACTGATAGTACAGGTTTTGTTGAGCAGAACATTTGAATGTATAAACAAATTGAGTTACTATAAGGTATATCAGTGTGGGGGGAAACTGCCACAAACAGTATAGGATGTTTAAATCTCACCAGATAGACTGTAGATACATCAAGCAGTAGACGGTATACCAGTGTGCAATGTTCTAATGGTGAACACGCATTTATTCAGTTGTACAGCAATGAGATAGAGCTAGTTGAAAACTACATACGCTAGGACGATTTGGAACAATGTATCACTGGAGTACAAAGGATGAAGTCTGTCTTAATTAACACTCTTTGTCAATTTAAAGACAAGGTGGATTCAC